TAAACTCTGTGCAAATCTGGTTGCCCCAGGACTTAATGATGCTGTTGGATTGTAGCTTCCAACCCAAAGACATCCAGGCTCCTTAAAAACTTCATGTTGTTCATGCATATGCAATATGACATTGCCTTTAATTATAACACAGTTATGCTTTTTTTTCTTAACTTTTTCTAACTGTAATCTGAGAGAAATTTCATTTTATGGAAAATAAAATTTCAAGATACTTGAACTTCCTCATTGAACTTGTTTTTTTATGTGTAGGGGTCTGTACACCTAAATGGCAGAGTGGAAAACCTCTTCATGCCCCCCATTGCCTCTTGATTGTTAAACTGGGATCTGTCTGCTCTTAAAGAGGAGAAGAACAAGAAGTTTTAGGAGTTGTGTTCCAACACAATATGTCTCGTGTTGTACAGGCAGTGTGCAAATTATCTGTGATGCTTGTCTAAGGTGTGTGGTGTTAGCTGTGGTTCAGATCCTCCCATGTGTTAGGTGATTTAGACTTTTGGAGAAATAATTTTGTCTTGCCTCCTTGGGAGCTGTATTAAGATTGTGAGCGTTACTTACTCTACCAAATTGGAAGTGAAATCTACAACAAGTGACTTGTAAACAGAAACAAAAAATTATCTTCTCTGCCTGTATTGAAAAGCTGTGTTATAATAAAGAAAGAAAATAATGGATGGCTAATAAATAAATGCATTTTTAATGTTGGACATTGGCTATTGCAATCTCTTCTTTCATTGTATTCACTTTTCACGCAAGAAGTAGGTGAGCTGCAGGAAAGCCCCGAGCTCTTGTCCTTCCTCCTTTTTCTCCTTGTGTGTGCAAAACTTCTGTGGCAAATGCCACTGATTGGTGAATTGAGGCATGGATAGTTTTTTAAAGGAATTTTCTGATCCTTATGGCTATCTGGGAAGAGTGAGGGGAACTTCCAGATGTGAACTAAGTGGTAAATCAATGACACTGCTGTCTTTGTGTCAGTAGGCAACTCACCCTTGTGCCTGCAATCCCTCTAGACTTAGAACCTACAGCAAAGTGAATTAGATCAGCATCTGTCAATTTTCAGAGCTAATATTGAGAACTTTTCTATGGGTAGCAATTAAACTGGTTAAAATTAATAAATAAATAAATAAAATGAGGCTACTGTCACATTGACCAGGAACGAGTATCAGGGTCATTGCTGAAGTGCATCTTCTCTTTTATGGGAGCTACCAGGAACATGCAGGCAGAAAGAGTGAGCAGATCAGCTCCCATCTGTGGAGCTGGCAGGCTGGTGTGATAGCAGGCACCCAGGTGTGGGCCAGGAGCTCACCCACAGCCAGCCTTGAGACACAGAAATGACCCTGCAACTAGCTTCATGTATGAGAAAAGCTGGCAGAAGCAGTGTTTTTCTTTACATCGGTGGCTGTTTCTGGTGGACTCTTGCCAGAACTCAAATCGTACGTCTTTGGCACGGGTTAGACAAAAATAGGAGATAGTCGGACTGTCAAGCTGGTCCCTCTCTGAGGGCAAACTAAGGACGTGTGATTTAAAGTCCTTAACCTCTAGTGTGCTGATTTCCAGGCATGTACTGAGTCAAAGCTGGGGCAGGTAATGGTGCTAGCACACTCTGCTACTAGAAATTGTTCTATTTTTAGTACAGATAATGTGAAGAAATGCGGTTTTTCTTTAGAAGTCATGAAAGCGTTGTATGAAGTGTTGCTCCCACACACACGCACGTGCTTCCTCCACCTACACGTTCGTCTGCAAGTTGTTTGTGCTTCTTTTCTGGGTTTGAGCCTTTAATATTCGTCGACTTGCAAACCTTTCTTGTGTGATCTTTGATTACTAAGTGTTGTCTGTACCTCGTAGGTTCGTTGTGCGCTCGTAATACAGTTATTCTGTATATAGACATATATATATACACAGTTATTCCTCAGTTTTATGTCTCAATAGGCTTCAAAAATCGCTCTGAACCTGTATTTCCTTTTCACATTTTAATCTAAACCTGTATTTCTCCCTTCTGTGGTGCAGCTGAAATTCATTCTTTGTGTTCAAGCTGTTGAGCAGCGTTGAAAAAAGTGGATTCACCCTTTAAAAAAAAAGGAGGGGCAAAAATAAACACTCATACTGCTTTCTTACATTTGGGATTAGAAATGTAAAGAAAAAATATCTTCTATTAAAATGTTTTGGGCAGTATTTAAACTACTGTCTCTCAGCACTGTCAGTAATGTTAGCAGTGTGTTGTTTACATTAAATGTATAAGGAGGGCTTTGCTTTGCCAGCTGTTTGACTGTTAAATAACAGTTGTTCGAAAGTTGCAGGTCCCTGGAGGGGAGCAGGCGGCGTATTCAAAGTGAAAGTAGGTTCCCCATTCTGCAGAGTGAAGTGGTTTAAAGACCAAATAGCTTTGATAACTCAGAAGAAGCCCCTTTGTTGTTTTTTTTTAATTATTATTTGAAGTGGTACTGCGTTCGTACAAAGTGGTTTATTATACAGAATATTCCTTAAATGAGCAGAGGTGAAATGATGGCAGGATATGTAAAGAGTATTTCAGCAGTCAGTAGATGGAGGGGGGGGGGGGGGGGGGGGGGATGTGGAGGTAAAGCTTCCTTTTCGTTATAAGTTTTTTGTTTGGTTGTTTGTTTTTTAGCTATCTAGCAGCAGCATTCTGATAGCTTCCCTGATTTACTCATGATTTACTCATGCAACTTGTGAGATATGCTTAATATGCTGAGGAAATAATCGGGTATCATTTTCTACATGACATAGTGATTTTGTATTTTATTTTTTTTTCCTGAGCTTCTGAATAATTCATTCAATTTGGTTAAAGGAAATACTAAGCTGGATTTCATCATACCCACTGCTTTCTAAAGGGCCTTTCTGGGTATAGGGTTGTTAATTTTGGCTTGCAATCACAGGCAGTTTATTTTATTATTTACCACCTTTTCCATCTGAATATTACTTGTGATCACAAGCCAATGTTCACAGCCCATCTCCACCTATTTCCCACTTTAACTGGATCTTGGTGCTCGTCTTCCTGCCTCACCTGGAGCTGGGACCTGAGACCCTGTGAGGATGGAGTGATTAAAAAGGAATAGACGCTCCTGTTGCAGTGCTGTGAATCCATCTGCAGGTTCCTCTGTCAGGCATCTCCAGGGTGGGGTTTGTTGGGTTTTTTTTTTTTTGAGTGCATTTGGAAATATTGGAGAACTGTTGGAAGAATCTGTTTAATTAACTTGAAGCTGGTAATGAGATGACTGGTTATTCATCAGTCACTTTCCCCACGTGTCACTGCACAAAGATTCTAGGGCAAGGTTCAGTCTTTTTTATTATATACAAACCACTGAGACCACCAGTGGGTTCATCTCCTGTTCAATTAAATTGACTTCAAAGGGGGAAATTGCTGGTGGAAAAGTAAAATAGAAACTATAATATATAAATTGTATCAAAACATGTTTGGGTGGAAGTTACTGCATTTGTAGTGTGGAGAGTATTTTAACTCAGTATGAAGCAGAAGGAAATTTATCATAAAAGTCCAGGTATTTAATACTGCTTTAGGTTGGTTGGTTTTTAGTGTTGCTCCAAGAATACTAATCATAAAAATGACCATATGGTTCTGTGAAATCCAAGAGTTTTATACCTGTCTGCTGGACTTAGCCCAGGCTTATAGGGAACGATTTCCTCAAGGAAATTTTCAGTCTCTGGTCACAGAGATCCAGTTTTCTTCATATTTAGCTGCTCAATCCATCCATTTTCTATTAGGGCCTTTCTCTGTCCTCTAGTCATGGGATATGTCTTAGGCTCTGTCCTTAATTCTCTTCTGTACCCTCTAATCACAGGTTTAGCTCCAAGGATGCTGTTTGGTCAGGAATTCCAATGTATTTCTGACTTGATCTGCACCGCCAAAAATCTTGGCTTGTTGTTGCAATACTGTGCCACCAAAATGTAGTTGTCCTGGTGAAAAAATAGATGTGAGAGCTTGATTACTTGTATTCATTAGAGATCACGTGGCTTCTTTTTTCTTTTTACAAGAGGAAGTAATAGTGTCCTGGTCAAATTCCAGCTTGGATAACTGCAAGTGGAATTCAGACGGGCAAATGTAATATTGTTTGGTGTTTGCATTGAGGAATAAGTAGTTGGGGGAAGGGAGAAGAGGCAAAAGAATAAGTGCCTTAAATCAAGAGGCTGTGTGAGGGATCTCTGAGGTGGAAACAAGCAGGGGACACGGTGTTCTTAATCTGATTTAGTGCTGCAAGTTGAAAATGTCTCCATTGAAATTCTTCATGCATACCTACATTAATGGAATGTTGTTCAGTATAATATGGTCTTTTCTGGGTAAGGATGGGCTCCCTTTGGGAGATACAGAAGGAGAAGAGGGATTTCTCTGCTTGGATGGAGAGGCCTAGGGGAGTAGAGCAGAGTCTTGGGGCCATCAGTGCTCAGGATAGTCCAGGAGAAATGCAGATCAGCATCTTGGCCCAGCTTTGAGGCAGGTGGCAGTGATCTTTGGCAGGTAGAGAATATTAATTTTTAAATAAATAACATGCCTTGATTTCCATACCTTGGGAGTCTAGTACCAGTTCTGGTCCCCATAAGAGGTGCACGTATTTCTAACTACCAGTTTTGCTTGAGAGAGTGTTATAGGACAGTCCACCCCCAGCTGATACAGCTCACAGATAATATACCCTCTGCTTTACCTCGTTGTACAAACTCAAAAGAATTTGCTGAATATTTTTGTGAATTTTTTTTTTAATTGACTTTTTCTCTGTTGTCTTTTATAGATAAAATGTTCAACGGTTCATTGGCAACTTTCTTCAGAAGAATAATTACTACTGCTCTGCTCTTGCCATAATACCAGATTTCTGTGACCTACATTCACATCAGTGCTAAACACCAGCAGAGAATCATATTTTGTTCATTCTGTGTAGATGGAACAGGCATCGATCTTGAGCGTTCGTCCTGATTTAAAGCTGCTTACTTGGTTTTCTGGGATTAAAGGTGCTCAATGAATCAGGGCCTCCCAAATGAGTCAAACAGCCAATTCTTGCCAACAGTTGGTTGAAAACTGTGCCGCACATGTAGCAGGAAAAAAAAACAAGAGGACAGTCGCCGTGGTCAAGTGCCACCCACGTTTTATCATGGTGCCAGCCAGGAACTTGATCTGTCCACCAAAGTATACAAGAGAGAGTCAGGAAGTCCTTACTCTGTGTTGGTGGACAGCAAAATGAGTAAACCACATCTCCATGAAAGAGAGGAGCAACCGTATTTCAGGGAGAACAGAGCGGTAGGAGAGGTCCGGGCTGTGAAAGAAGATAGAGAAAACTCTGACGACTCTGAGGAGGAGGAAGAGGAGGAAGATGAAGTGACTTACAAAAGGGAGCAGATTATAGTAGAGGTAAACCTTAACAACCAAACATTAAATGTATCAAAAGGGGAGAAGGGTGTCCCCTCCCAGTCCAAAGAGACTGCTGTTCTTAAGACCAGCAGTGAGGAAGAGGAGGGTGACAGTGGGGAAGAGGCCACTGAAGACAGTAATGATTATGAGGAAAATGAGAGGCAGAAGAAAAAAGAGAAAAGAGTGGAAAAAGTTAGTGTTGCACAAAGGAGAACAAGGAGAGCTGCATCTGCTGCAGCAGCCACAACTTCCCCATCACCCAGAACTACAAGGGGTCGTAGAAAGAGTGTGGAGCCCCCCAAGCGTAAGAAGAAAGCTGCAAAGGAGCCCAAGGCACCTGTGCAGAAATCAAAGTGTGAAGAGAAGGAGACTTTAACCTGTGAGAAGTGCCCCAGGGTGTTTAACACACGCTGGTACCTGGAGAAGCACATGAACGTCACTCACAGGCGCATGCAGATCTGCGACAAATGTGGGAAGAAATTTGTTCTAGAAAGTGAGCTGTCCCTTCACCAGCAAACAGACTGTGAAAAAAATATCCAGGTAGGTTTGCTCACCTGCTTGCCAGATTTCCATACCTTCTGTCGTGCCCTGGATACAGCTAGTGGACACTTCAGAGGGGGAAATCTTTTGTGCAGACCAGGTTCTGACCGAGACCTTGTCTCTTACATATCAACACTTTGGTGTCTTCCAAAAGAAGTAAATTGTAGGGAACAGAGTGTACAACTGACATCTGCTTCAGCAGAGTTACTCTAGTATTTAATTACGAGTTTGGGAAAAATGCAAAGCTACTTTAACAAATGTCAGAATAAAGAGTAACTGGCCTGAAACCGGGTGCATTTGCAGTGAAATACTTGGAGAGGATAAACCCTCCTTCTTCAGGTGCTGAGCACCTGCAGCTATCGCTAGCTTTAAAGTTCAGAGCCTTTCAGTGTCCTGAAACTCAGTCACAGCGTATGTCCAAGGAAGGTTTCAAGTGAGAACAGAATTATGTCACTTTGCTGGTATTGGAATCAGAAACTTGTAAAATCCCGGAGAGGCAAGCAGGTGAGAAAGAAGCTAGTGAAGTCAGGATTTGAACTTGTCTTAAAGTGTCACTTTTAAAAATCCTACTGAGATATTGATAGACACGGAATTTGCAGTAGTGTTCATGTACCTATATGGAAGTGCATGAATTCAACAGGTAAATCTGTTCATGAGCCTGCCCTTTTCCCAGTGCAAAAAGCTCCCTAAAGCTCACTGATAATCTAAAGATCTCTGGTCTTTCTCACCAGAAGATTTGCAGCTTTTAATTTTATACAACAATGGAAGCCTGTGTTGTAATAGAACCGATTGAAAGTTTAAATTGTGGAAAGAGTTTTTCAGAGTTTCTGATTCATCTGTGGTTTGTACTTTTGCTCGTAGGCATCTGTGTTCTCATGGAATTGGGGGCACTGTTGTTTTATCTGGCGATTGGAACGTGCTTTTTTTGCCCTGTTAAACTAGGCACAGTGTTGCCACCTACTTCTGAAATAAATCCCACTGCCAGCGTGAAGCAGCTTGAGTTCCATTTTTGTGCAGCTGAAATATTTGTAGGGTTTGTAGGGCAGTGAGTTTTTTTGTCTGTCCAGTGAGTTTTACCAGAAAGATTTAAGATTTGTTTGTTTGCTTGCTTGAATGCTAAACTGAATTGGTATTCAATTCCCACTGCGTGGGAGACAGTTGAAATATTTATTGCAATTTCTCTTTGCTGTAAGACTCACATGCAGCTCTGTATAACGTTCTGCTATTTTTCCTTATGTTTCAGCTCATAGGAGGAAGACTGAAGGAAGGAGTATAATATAAAATAATGAATCTTGAGCGTAGTTAGTAAAATGCATAAACATTTCACTATGTCCTTGCAGTTTTTGAAATAAACGCTTCAAAAGTTGAGTGTAGCAGAGAACATTTAACTGTAAACTGAAGGGATGGCCTGTCATCCAGGTGGCTCATTCACAGCATAAAATCTTTTAACTTTAAATGGGAATTCATGAATAGTTTGAATGTGTGATATAGAATGGGGAAGTATCCTGTAATTTGTGCACACACATGCTTCTGAGGGGTTACATTCCCATGTCCAAAAGTGACAGGAAAAGAAGAAATTGTGTTTTCTCTCCAATACCAGAAGAATAATGTCCAGAAACTCTCCCAGATGTTTCTAATGCCAGAAGCACTGCTAGTCATCTTCAAGTTCTCAGTATAAGCCTATATTCAACAATTATTTTTGGTCTGTCCTGACATTTGGAATGTATTTCACAGCTGTCTGTTAATTTATTTTCATTACACTTGGCAAAAGGAGTTAAGGGGGTATGAAAGTTTTACATTAATGTGGAGTTTAATACGTCAAGGGGGATATGGAGCTTTGTCTAGGAAAAAAAAATTGTTTAATTTATGTAGGTGGTAATTGAACTGAGAAACGTGGCTGGCTCCTCTCTATATTTTTCATCTAAGTGATGGAATATATCTGTTTTTCCAGGTAATTTCTGGTTTTCATCCTTTCAAAATTAGCACCTTGACAGAATTTTTGTCATCTTAAAGTCTCTATGTAGTGACTCTCAGTATTGGTGATTTAAATCATTCGCTGCTGATTGTCAGTTAAATTGTAGACTGACCACTTCAGGGACTCACTTAGCCTTAAATCAAAGGATTTTTGATAAATTCTTAGCTTTGCTTTACTCTCTAGGGGTTCCTCCCCACCAGGGACTACAGTTTATTCCTCACATGCCTCTGAGTAGGTACTTTTAGAGGCAGAAGCTCTTCCTGGAGTCAACATGGTGAGCAGGAGCTGAGAGTTTCCAGGCCTGCAGAGATTCAAGCACTTTGGAAGCGGTACAGAGAAGAAACAACTCAAGTGGACAGAAGGCATAGCATATCCTAGTTCTGCAGAGAACAACCCTTCTTACTTTGAGGGAAGGAGAGTAATTGATAGGCAGAAAAATTTAAATGCACCAAAAACCACAAGCACCCCAGCAGCTAAGAAAAAAAAATAATAAACCACATTGCCTTCAAAAATGAAAATGACTTGGTGTCCTCACATACGTGTCTGCTGTCAAGTTTTACAACTCAGATTATTCTGGAGTTTTCAAAACTGTGCAAGGATATTATTTATCAAGTCTAGAGCAAGAGCTAACTGTTGGGGAACAAGAGAGATGTGTGAAAGCCTGTGAGTCCTGCTCGTCGCTGACTTTCTGGACGTTTCACAGTAGCTGTGGGAAGAGATTAAAACATGGTTTGCATATTGTCATTGTAGAGCTACAGTGCTACTGATAAGTAGAAATGAAGAGTCGGAACACGAAAGACAGAGGTGACAACTTGCTTTACTGTATGAACTGTGTACCAGACCCTGCATGGTCAAGAGCTGCAAGATGGAAGCTGTCTTCTGTGTAGAGCTAAAAAATGAGAGAACTTTGGTTCACGGGCTGTTAGACCTGGAGCTTGAGAGGTCACAGTGCTCCTGTGAAAAGCGGGGCTGGACATGCAGATGACTTTAAGGCAACTCGGTGGTATTGACCTCCTCCACCTCTTTTGGCTTCTTCCCACACCAGGGGTTTGGATTCTTCCCACACCAGCAGCATCAGTGCCTGTGAAGTTGTCTCCTCTGTGTTGAGGTCCTCGAGGGCTGCATCCAGCTATCCATGCTGTTGTGTTTTGGAAATAAGTTAGTGCGGTGGCTGTGGTGCTCTTCAGGTGGCGTCAAAATGCAGAGTGTTAAACATCCTTTCTAATCCTACTTGATGTGGCTTTTCCTAGTGTAGTTGTTTCAAGTGTGAAACAGTAAATGTAAGCTGAAGTGCAGTCTGAGACAGTATACAGCATTTTGACTTGTTTTTGGGCTTCTTTTTGTCATGCAAGAGGAAGAGACCCTGGCTGAACTCCACAAACTTGAATCCCTGAATCTTTCTAATTTCAACTTCTTTCTATTTCTCCCATTTCATTCAGTGCGTTTCCTGTAATAAATCATTCAAGAAGCTCTGGTCCCTCCACGAACATACCAAGATTGTCCACGGATATGCAGAAAAGAAATTCTCTTGTGAGATTTGCGAAAAAAAGTTCTACACCATGGCCCACGTGCGGAAACATATGGTTGGTGAGTTATTGATCAGTGCTTCTGTTGATTCTGCCTCATAATGTGTCTTTGTGGGTTTTGTAATTGCTGTTTTGAGGAGAAAAAATAAGAAGGCAAATTCAGTTGTCTGAGCTTTATTCTTAATAAAAAGTTCAAGCCTGTAGTACTGGGCAGCAAGCAACATATATGTGTGTGTATATGTGTGTATATAGTTATAAGCTGTTCAGTAGTAATCATTTTCCTGCTCAGAGTTGGGGGGAAAAATTAGTTAAAAGAACTGTTTGCATTTGAATAACTCTAATGCACTGTTGTGTTGCAGCACACACAAAGGACATGCCATTTACATGTGAAACCTGTGGAAAATCATTCAAACGCAGTATGTCTCTCAAAGTACATTCCCTACAACATTCTGGAGAGAAACCTTTCAGATGTGAGGTGAGGCAGCAACTTGTAATATGGTTAGATATGATAGCATAAGGTATAAAACTAGTAACACTGTCAGGAGGGAACATAGGTGGAAACTGAATTAACTGGCTTGTAAATGAGGTGCAGCATCATAAAAATTTGGGGGAAATTCTTTTTGATGTGGAGAGCGCAGCAGCAGTGCACGTAGCAGCAGTTCAGTTCAAACTGAGATGGTTTTGGTTTGCTTTTACTGCTGGCTGTCGTGTTTTTCTCAATGAGTACACACCACAGCAGGATTTGAATCCTAGTTTTCCCTCGGTGCCTAATGCAAATTACATTAATCCTCCCTGTCCTGCCCAGTAACTTGAAACAGATAGAAGTGGCAACAGTGAAAATAAACAAGTTACTGCTTGATTTTCACTGTTGGGAAAAAACTACTGTCCTCCCTGCAAACTATTCCCTCCTTGAGATCTAAGACTATGCTCTGAATTTGCATTTGGTTAACCAAAGTGTGTGTGTTGGGATGGGGTAGAGTATGTTCACTGATGCATTCAGGGACATTTGTGATTGTAATTTTATGCCTGCCCTTGTGAAGGAGATGGGACAACCTTACCCAGTCATATGTCTGGGGCAGATAATGTCTCAGTCATCTGATGGGGATGCTGGTGGCTATCACATGATGGAGACAGAGAGGGTACAGAGTCCTTCCTGTTTCCAGGACAGGTCTGGTGGCTCACCCTGTCCACAAAATGGGGCACAACTCCAGCCAGACACGTAGTAGTAATGGCAGTACAACAGCCACTGTAGTCTTGGGGATAAGAC